CAAGTAGTTAAATCGACCGATATCGCAACGTGCAGATGGTAGATTTGGTGAAGTGTATGACCTACTTACAATAACCCTCATCTGCCTGCCCATTACTTAACGTAAGGTCTTGTGATCTTACCAGTGTCTGATAAAGCTTGATAAGCATCTTGTTATTCAACCTACTAAAGCGTTCTTCTTGACGCCAAAACTGTTCTAAAATCTGTAATCGCAAACAAACATTAAGTATCAGTTTTCAAATCATGACTTACTAGGGCTCTTAAGTATTTATGCGTAAGAACCAACGGTTGAGATGTCTCTCCAGATAGATAATTGTTTCCATTTTTGTGCTCGCTGGGTATGGTGATACTTAGCTTTATTGTTAAGTGTTGTTGCTAACCGAGACTAGATGCTTGAGTGCTGAGATCAACTTAAAACACTTCTAGATGGTTATTCTCTACTACGTATTGACATATGTTGCTGTCATTTGCATAAATTAGTGTCAAGAACTTGATGATAACTGTTAATTAGTCTATATGGAAACTGATCAGCGATGAGCAAATAAGTAAATATTACATGCATCAATTATCTATGCCCTACATAAGAGGAAGATATTTAACAGATTTATAGCATTTAATATGTTTAATAACCTTATTTGCTTCACCAAAAAATAAAAAGTAAAATAATATTTCTTAAGTCGTCACTTTCCAGTATTCGTTACAGTTGGCTTAAACGATTCAAACAACGTAATAATGATGGCAAACTAGTCTGCACACAAACCATTTTTACCGAGTATCGTTTATTCAAAACCAGTTTAAATGCCTTAATCTTGCTCGTGATTTAGTCATCAATTGATTCTTAAATTTGAACACAGATTGCTTCGCGGTCATAACTATCCTCATTCCAAACCATTCAGCAATGTGACAATGAATTAGTAATCAAGAGTATGTTTAGAAGCAGACAAAATATAAGTGGAGTGATGGCTTTAGTCCTTTGGCCAAATTATCCGAAACATTTCTAACAATATCACCTGCTTGTTGAGGGAAAGTAAAGTTCGCAAGCTAGGTTTGCCATGCTTCTTGTAATGGTGTCAATAAACAATGCTTTGGTTCATATAGTAATATACCTAGGTCAGCTTCAGCAAGTATATTAATTCTGTCAGTGTAACAAGTAAAACTGCTGAGGAATCAACTGAACATGATTCAATATACCCAAATAAAATGTGAAAGTTGTTAGTTATAGAGTCAAGCAAGTAACTTAGTGTCCAATATTTTCTGATTACAATAAGATTGGCCTTAAAGTACTGAGTGTGTTAATTAACAGATGGTAAGTTTTGTTCAAAAATGTCCCATCAAATCCGAACAGATATAGAGTTAAAACACTACATAAAAGGAGTGCATTTCGTTCCTACAGTTGCATTCATTTTTGTGCCTCTTTACTTTTCCCTTTCGTATTTTAAATTATACTCTTGAAAAGGAATAGTTCTTTTAAATTACTAATTCAGTCACATACTAGAATGACTCCGAAAAACGAGCACTAAATTTTTTCTCAAAATAAGGGTACAACTGTTAAGCAGCTGTATACAATCCATAAAATGTAATGCTTGTTAACATTAAATACTTATAGAAAGTTCTACGTGAGGAAAAAAATATTTTAAAAAATCCCATAGTATAAATTAGAGCATTATATATAAGGGAACAGTACTGTTTTCAATTAGATCGTTAACAGGTTTAACTATAATATACAGTAATATTTATATGAAAACACTATACAAGTGAAGGTAGTTTATGAATCCGTGGTAACAGTAAAATAGAGTATATGACTAAACAAAGTAAGTAAAAATTTAAAACTGATAATTAGATAATAAGTATACTAGATATATCTGTCATTACACTATCAATGTAATTCATTTTGTTCTTATCATTAACTTATAGACTATCAACAGTACATTAGAGTAAAGCCTGACAAAGATCTAATTGGAAACAGTACTACTAAGATCACGAACCGAAGTATATGTTAAAAGTTCGTTGAAAACCAGAGGGTGATGGACCGTCGTCTTGTTTGGGTACGGGATAATAAGTAATAGGTATCCAGTTTCAAGAAACCAGGAATTGCACCGAGGTCCTACGGTCTCGTATGCGAACGCGCAGCCTAGAGACCATTGAGCCAGGGTACAGTGGTACACAAGTTAACCTTCCACCAATGATATTTCCAAAGTATTCACTTGAGACAAGATTTTTACGACTCAGAAGCATAGAATGCTTCGTTTGAACATGTAGTAGTTACAAATAAGTTAGTCTTGGAACTATAATAACCTTATAGCACCACTGCCACACTTAAATTTGTTTAATTTTGTCAAGCCCTTTAGTTAACTTATTTGGAAGACTTTTAATAAAAACAGTAACAATTTGATATGTTGGTATTGTTATTATTATTATCATGTCTGTATGAAAATATATGCTTGATCACATATGACAGCCTACGCACACATCCCTTTTTCTAACTTAAATGTTAGTTGCCTAAATCACTGCTCGAATACGTTTTTTTGCTTGTGGCTTAGTGATCTACGCTGTTCAATTATAAACTGTAGTCGATGCTTCATATTGTCTTCTAAAAATCTCACATCATTAGTATCTATTTTCCGACAATATACCAGCTGAAGCACTGAAGTCAGACATCGAAGTAACTACAAACATGCTTTACCTTCTATTCAAAAAGATTTAGGAGAAGGAACAAGTGCCGATGGACTGGAAAGAAGGACACCTCATCAAGATTCCAAAGAAAGGATACCTGAGCGAATGTGAAAACTACAGAGGAATCACACTACTGTCAGTACCAGGGAAAGTCTTTGACATAGTTTTGCTGAACCGGGTGAAAGGTGCAGTAGACGCCCAACTTCGAGATCAACAAGCTGGATTCCGTAAGGACAGGTCGTGCACAGACCGAATCACGACACTACGGATCATGGTCGAACAATCAATTGAATGGAACTCGTCATTGTACACCAACTTCATTGATTATGAAAAGGCATTTGACAGTGTAGATGGGAGAACGTTATGGAAACTTCTTCGACACTACAGAGTTCCTGAGAAGATTGTCAATATTATCCGGAACTCATACGACGGACTACAGTGCAAAGTAGTGCATGGAGGACAGCTGACAGACGCATTCTAAGTAGGAACCGGAGTCAGACAAGGCTGTCTACTCTCTCCCTTCCTCTTTCTTCTGGTGGTCGACTGGATTATGAAGACCTCGACATCTGAAGGAAAACACGGAATACAATGGACAGCTCAGAATCAATTAGACGATTTGGACTTCGCAGATGACCTAGCCCTCCTATCACGTACACACGAATAGATGCAGGTGAAGACAGCCAGTGTAGCAGCAGTCTCTGCATCAGTAGACCTCAGTATACACAAAGGGGAAACCAAAGTCCTCAAATTCAAAGCGGAAAACAGCAATCCAATCACTCTTGATGGCGAAACTCTGGACGATGTAGAATCCTTCACATACCTGGGAAGCATCATCGGTGAACAAGGAGTTTCAGATGCAGACGTAAAGGCGAGGATCGGCAAAGCAAGGGTCGCATTCCTACAATTGAAGAACATATGGAACTCAAAACAACTTTCGACCATTATCAAAGTGAGAATCTTCAATACCAACGTCAAGGCAGTCCTACTGTATGGAGCTGAAACTTGGAGAATTACAACAACCACAATCAAGAAAGTACAAGTATTTATAAATAGCTGTCTACGCAAGATACTCAACATCCATTGGCCGGATACCATCAGCAACAGCCTTCTGTGGGAGAGAACAAACCAACTTCCAGCTGAAGAGGAAATTAGGAAAAGACGATGGAAATGGATAAGACATACACCACGCAAATCGTCAAACTGCATCACGAGACAAGCCCTAACTTGGAATTCTGAAGGAAGGCGGAAAAGAGAAAGGCCAAAGAACACATTACGTCGGGAAATAGAAGCAGATATGAAAAGGATGAATAACAACTGGAAGGAGCTGGAAAGGATTGACCAGGACAGGGTTGGATGGAGAATTCTGGTGAGCAGCCTATGCTCCTTCACGAGGAGTAACAGGCATAAGTAAGTATCTATTTTATAACGGAATCAGGATAATTGATATGAGAAGCCAAAGGAATTATCTCGAAATAATATCAGAGCAGTCAAAGCAATACAAGATATTATTCCACGAACTTATAGGCTACTGTCCTGAGCCACATAAGTGGGGGGATGTGCTATAACTGTAAATTACAATTTTACATGTTGGGTAACATGGGCGCATATATCGTTTAGCACTGTGACACGCCTACATGTGCTATCCGGGCTTTTGAACAGACCAAATAATTCATTCGTTTTGAGTCATTATCTACACAGATTTCGACCTTGTCAGTTATTCGCTTATAACGTCGACTGTCCTTATATGAGCGTACTTTGTGTTTACCACTTAGTCTGCTCACAACCCATTTTTAGCTTATTTTTTCTGTCTGACTGCAAACGGTGAATGTTGCCTTATCAAATCGAGTTGAAATCCTTGCCTTCTACGTCTCGTTTCCCCCGTTGTCTATCTGCGGTAAATAGTGCATGAAATATACATACCAAAAGCCATTCTCGTGTTTTACTTCTTCCGTTACTCACTAACGCGAATTAAGACAGCAGATATAAAAAGGGTTGGTGGGATATCTATTTCGTTGTAATCATACCATATGATCAAATCGAAGCCAGGTAACGGAGTCACGATAAGGAAACTGACCGTAGTAACACAGTCGCATTCATTCTTTATCTCATAAGTTTTTAGTCTAGTGTCATTCCATTATTTTTCACATTTAGGCACGTTCCTTCCTATTATTTATATTTTCATATTTCGATTTCTAATAAAATGGATATTATTACTTCTACTCTACTGTTCCTTATCTTGTTAATTTGAGGTCCGGCGACTCTGATCCATATATATTTGTACTAAATACCAAACTGCTTGAAATCAACCGACTGAAAAGTCAAGTGAAGATAGGAAATAGTATTAAATTAAATTCTTTGAAAAAATCATATCTGATATATATGAAATTAGATATAAAAAGAGCAACCGGTATAGCGGTAAAATGGACTCATGAATACATAATAAATGAAGATTAGAAAAGTATGAGGTAAAAAATAGAGATATTCTGTTCTTCGATAGTATGGATACATCTGTTAATGATCCAAACACAAAAAAGAATGTACTTACTTAATTAAAAATCAGTGTACTACAACTTGTTACATGTGAACAGGATTAGGATTTCTAAAATATTCTTAACAGATTATGTTTCTAGATGATTTGTAAGTCACTGTTCTAGGTTTTTCCATATGTTGAATGGAAATTACTTTGGAAAAGACAACGTACTTGAGCACTATGCACAATATTTTCAGCTGAAGGTTTGTTATAAATCCTTTTGTTACTCGTTCTGTTTTCTCTTCTTTCTCGACAGCCACGAGGAAATATTACATTAAATGTTGAATTACTTGGTTTATTAACTAGATTCGTATTGTTTCGATCACATAGGTTAGGAACCGTATGCATCGTTTCACGGACATAATTGCTTTCTAATTCATGGATGCTATAAAATGAATCTAAAGATGATGGAAGACTAATTTTAATCATATCACAAAGATCAATAAAAGTGATCAAAGTATTTATCGCTTTGGTCAGCCTAGATGTTGCGTCGGGATTTCTTTCTTTAATAAAGAGAAGTTTCGGAAGCCATACTCTTATGACTGAATAACGTCTACCACAGGGCTCTAAAGAAGCTAACTGAGTAGCTAAAAAATGTACCAGCTTTCCAGAGGGAAACAGTATCCAAGACTGTCCAAAAGTGAAATAATTTGACTGTTTATTCTCTGGCACAAGACAGTTGAGAGTTGTAACCAAATCTTTAAAACTGTTAAAAGTTGACTGTATAGCATTAAAGCTGTGTACAATATCAATTCTGAAATTAGTAGAATTGCTACCTGAAATCGACAACTGATCAGGCATTATGCTTAGGTTATTATAAAATTCACACAATTCACTAATAGACGAACCATCGTTGTATATATTTGCGACAGCACAAGAAGCTACAGCAAGTCCAACAGACGACTCACTAAACACAGAAGGGATCTCAATAGAGGTATACTTTAATTGCTGAAACCAAAATGACAAGACTACTGCTAAACTGTAAAGTAACTTAGGGATTAAATTGTTTTCCGGTAGTTTGACGAAACCCAGATTTTCTTTAATAACTTCATCTGTGCTAACTTTGTTGAAATCTAAAGGAATATATTTGACTGGGATTTGATACATCACTAATTTATCGTTTTGTCTCATATATTCAATAACATCAGGATTTAATCCGACAAGTTTATTTTCCATACTTAAACTGCGTTCCAATGACACATAAATTTGATAGTGTAGTCTTCGAATTAAGAATGACGTTTCATGAACTGAGAATGGGCATTTTGGATCTTCAACTGCGGTGAGAAGAAAAACACCTCGAGATGAATAAATAGATGGTTTTGAAAATAATATTCCCTTCCTGAAATTATAAAGAAGACGAGGAGGCCACCCATTTGTGTAGTCTTCATGCCATAAGTATGCTACAATAGTACCTTTTAGTGAATTAATCACATCCTCAACACTTCCACTAGATCTGAATGATGATTTAATAGTTGTAAATGTATTTGTTGAAGTATCATTAAAGTAACTTTTATCACTCAATAGACTCATAACACTTTTAGTTTCTTCTAGAGGGCAAACAAAACGAGAAATGCCGTGTATCATATCGTTTATTATAGAAGTGCGCTGTTCAACTGGATAACAGTTAATAACATCTTCTAATGGTTTAATTGAATTTGAATCGAACTGTGAAAACCATTCAAGGAGTACAGATAATCGATGTTGTGAGTAATTTATTGTTGAATTGTTTGTTTGTAATTTTTCTTGTAATTCTAATGGAAGTCTTACATTAGACACAACATCTGTACCAACTAACACAGCTAAAAGAGGCAAGTGAAAATCTGAAGATCTAGCTAAAATTGAAAGTTTAGGAATAAATTTGTGAAACAACATTTCTTTTTCACCACTACTTTTACTAGAACCACTCAAATTTAGATTGGCCAAATGAAGTGTAAGAAATGTCGGACTCGAATATGGTTGAGAAATCAAACTATTAAGAATATTTTGTCTCTTTGACATAAGTATATAATAATCAGATGATAAACCAATAACTGGACATTGTAAAATTATAGCAATAGCGGTACAAACAGTTGTAGGAAAAGATTTAACTCTAATACACTTCCATGGGAATTCATTTAAAGCGTACAAAAATACATCCCTAGCTGATAAATTGAGTACTTTGGGGATTTTATCAAGTGCATTTAATTTTACGGCTGTGATAAGTTGTGATAACACGTTAAATTCTTTCTTCTGTTTATGCTTTAATTTTTGATTCTGTTAATAAGAAATGAATAACAAATAGAATTATTTATATGATTAACAATAACAAGAATTTCGTTTCAATTTTATCAATAATAGTAATCTTTTTAAAACATTTCATTCTCGCTGAAAAGACCTTTTTACCGTTGTCAGTTAAACATTATGTACCATAATAAGAGAGTAAGTATGCTTAATCAATAAGAAAACACAGTTTGGATTGATTTATTGTGACTAAGGAAATGCAACTTTCAACAATTTCTCGTTAAAAAATCAATTTTCCCGCCATACAATATAGGAAGTCTTTGAAATAACTTCATTCCACACAACATTAGTCATAAGCATTAGTTTAGTAATCACATAAGATACTTCAATTTACCTTCCAATGACGAGCGTTTTTTCCGTACTAATTAAGTGTTTGAATGGAGATTTATCCTGAAATTGACTATTTTTTAGCGAACTGATATAAGCTGGAAAACTATTGAAAACGATGAAGCACTGACCAGCTATTTTATCAATTTTTGGAATTCCTCAACAGTTAGTATCTACGATCTAAAGAATTATTTATTTATTTATTTATTTGAACACATAAATATTGGTACAAGAGAGCGCCAATATATATGCGCCACACAAAACAATGGGAATTCGAAGAGAAGTAGAAAGAGAAAAAAAAAACTAAGGAACGCAAAAGAAAAAGAGAGTAATGACGAAGAGGTACAATCAGAAGAAATCTTTCAGGTAAGGAGACACAACCACTTTTTATGAAGAAAGTAAAAGAAGGTTACAGCAGGATCGCCACTGGCTTCTATTCTGAGCCATATCTGATAACGTCTCTAGCCACTGTGTAGCACCATCTCTCGGACCCCAACCAGGGAGTCGTGAAGGACCAACACAAGCCAGTCCTTTGCAGCTTTCTTTCATGCCACGACACCATGTCATGCACTGACCACCTCTCCGCTTCTTCCAACCAGTCCCAGAGTCGGCAAATAATGCACGACGTGGAATTCTCTGGGACGACATTCGGAGAACATGTCCAAGCCACCGAAGTCGGTGTTTCAAGATGGTGACACCAATTGAGTTATCATCTCTGTGCCCGAACACACGATGCCGAACCTCTGCATTACTGACATGGTGTTGCCACTGAATGTCAGCAATCCTTCGGAGACAGCGATGATCGAACACAGAGAGTCGTCTAACGTCCTCAACTCGGAGAGGCCAGGTTTCACAAGCATAGAGCAAAACTGCTCTCACCGACGCGTTGTAGATCCGACCTTTTACAGCCAGACTAACATCACGAAGGCGCCAAAGGTGGCCCAGATTGGCATAAGCCGCTCTGGCTTTCACTATTCGTGCATTGATCTCATCACTCACACCCCCACCAGCACTTATGCAGCTACCCAGATACACGAACTTCTCAACTACGTCTATCTGCTCACCGTCCAGGGTGAGTACAGGATTAGAATCCTGCCAGTCTTGTAGAAGTACTTTGCACTTCGAAGGTGCAAAGCACATACCATACCTACGGACACTGATTGCCAACTGATTAAGTGCGGATTGCATGCCTTGGGCATTATCGCACAGTAAGACAATATCGTCCGCATACTCAAGGTCGAGAAGTCTTTCTCCAGGCAACAGATCCACACCACCATTACTTACATTCATCAGAGCTGTTTCCAGAATGTCATCGATGGCAAAGTTGAAGAGGAATGGTGAGATTGGGCAACCCTGCCTAACCCCACTGCTCGAATGGAACAATGGAGAGAGGTGGTTGTATGCCCTCACTCTGCCTGAGGTGTTTTTATACAGGGCTTTTAGGATGTTAATAAACTTCTCAGGCACACCCTTCTTCAATAGACAATCCCAGAGAACAGTCCTATCCAACGAATCGAAGGCAGCCCTGATGTCAAGAAACACTACGATTGTTGGCCTTTGAAAAGTATGGCGGTGTTCTAACATTTGGCGGAGGGTGAAGATATGATCAATACATCCTCGACCAGAACGAAACCCAGCCTGCTCCTCGCGAGTCAATCTTTCTCGGGTTTTGAACAACCTACGAAGAATGACGGAAGCCAATAGCTTGGACGCAATCGGAAGTAAACTTATCCCCCGATAGTTGTTACAAGAACGACGTGAACCCTTTTTAAAGATAGGGACAACTATCGACTCATTCCATGACGTTGGTACACTCTCTAGTTCCCAAACCTTTGTAAACAACGTCGTCAATTCCTTAGTCAAAAAGTCACCACCATCTTTAAAAAGAGCCGGAGGTAAGTCATCTGGGCCAGGTGATTTGTAACGCTTCAAGAGTTGGAGTTCCTTGCGGACTTCCTCCTCATTTGGTGGATCAGTCGTCACCGGCCATGGAGGGCAGGACAGTCTGACCGATGTTGCCGGAGCAGCAGGCCAGTTGAACTGCCCTTCGAAAAATTCTGCCCATCGTCCAAGACGTCGATGGATGTTAGTGATTGGCATCCCATCATCCTCGCAGATTGTTTCACTCACACCAGACTTCTTGCTGCCAGTGGCTCGGATGAGCTGGAAGAGCTTCCGGTAGTTACCAGATGCAGCTGCTGCTTCCAGCTCATTAGCACGCATCGACCACCAGGCTTCTCGGTCCTTACGCAAGCTTTGCCCAATTTCCTTACGTAACATCCTTCGTTTATGGTCAAACTCACGGTCACCCGGAGTAGACCGACGGGCTTCAATGAGTTGTAAGGAACCAGAAGAAACCCAGTGCTTAAAAGCGGGACGTTTCGCAAACCCACAACTGACTGTTCCCGCCATTTTCATGGCGTCATGCAATTGCAACCAATGCTCATCTATACTTTTCGGTGGAGTGGTAGCTAGCCTAGAGGCTAGCTCGGTTCGATACTTACTTGCAACAGAAGTTGCAACCAGCTTGCTAACATCAATCCGTTGATGGCGTTCACTTCGTTGTCCACTGAAAAGTAAGGCAAGATTGGCGCAGACCAAGGCATGGTCAGAGTCCAGATAGGTACTCCAAAAGGAGCGGCAGTCTTGTACACAACCACGCCAGCGGTAGCTGATCGCGATGTGATCAATCTGAGTCCAGGCTTGAGATGCAGAGGGAGGACGCCAGGTGGCACATCGGCGATGACTGTGCCGAAAGTTAGTGCTAGCCAGAAACAGGTTGTGGTCTGTGCAAAGTTGCAGTAGACGGTCCCCGTTATCTGACCTGCGACCAACGAGTCCCCATCGGCCACCTAAACGACTCTCTTCTGTGCCTAGACGCCCGACCTGAGCATTCAAGTCTCCGGCTAGTACTACAATATCTGTCGAACGCACTTTCTGGAGAAGAACTGATAACTGGTGGTAAAACTCATCCTTGATTGCATCCGGGCTGCAATCTGTCGGGGCATAGGCGGAGATGACGAAAAGACATCGTTTCTCACGCCGATTTCTTCTCACTTTGATGGAACTTTCTAATCTAACAGCACATAACCGACTGTTAATGGGGATCCAATCGACTAGTGCTGCCTCAGCTCTAGCGCTTAGTGCGACACCAACGCCAGCAAGACCAGACGAAGATGCCACAGGGTCCCCGGATAAGCGCACGTAAAACAAGCTTTTCGAAGCGACAGATGGAGATCGAATTTGTAGTACTTCGCCAGAGTCTTGAATACGGGTCTCGGATAGACAACACACGTCGATATTAAGACTTTCCAAAGACATAGCCAGCCCTATCTGTTGTCCGACCTGCATAAATGTGCGAACGTTGAAGGCAGCCAGTTTGAATGGTGCACGTGGTTTCAGAAAATCTGCTTCAGTCCTCGTATTCGGTGGTAACATACAATTTTCAACCGGACAGTGACTCGAGAACGTTTAGATACAGTCGGAATTCCACCAAAGACGAGCCGCTGTATAAGTATAAAAGAGGGTGAATAATGTGGAAAATAATAATAATAATGATAATAATAACAATAATGACAATAATAGTAGTAATAATAATATTAGTATTAATAATGACAATAATTGTAATGATAATAATCTGAATCAATTGTTTGTTTTTCAAAGCGACAAAAGTAATTTCCATAGACATAAAGAGTTCATCATTTGTGTGTGGGCTGTGATACTGCCCGGGTGCCCAAACCGAAGCAGGTGGTTATCTTAGGGGGCCACTCCCCGAGCCTTTGACCTAAAGGTCTAACCCACAAGGCAGTGGAGCATCGTAAGGAGATGCAGTCCCATGGTAGCCGGTGACCAACGATTGGTTCATACGCCATTCGTTCCCGCAGGATACTGGAGCCCATGTGCACCATTGATTTGGAATCCGGTTAAAGCGCCGGACATTCGCTTTTCGTCCTCTCATTTTCGTAAACAACACCCCCGCCACGAGAAGGCAATGAGTAGGACTTCCCTGGCAGAGGCTGTATACGCGTGGCCGTGTGAGAGTATTTCGAGAGGGAGAGCGGACTCTCCCCACTCTCGGCCGTACCAGGGCATTCAGGGGGGGATCTAAAGAAGCATAGAGCCGAATACTTGATGGCGGTTAGAATATCTTTAGACCACATAATTACAATAGAATGAATTCAGACTCCTGACTTTAATCACTCTGCGTTATAATCCAACTATAATCCAATACTTTTGGTCAATTAGTGTCTTGTTTACAACATGGTTTAACTCCACAAACCCCATCGATAAAGTACTTTTGATTAATCACCATTATTATTACTACGAGTATAATTATCGTTATTACTTTTATTAATATAAGTTTTAAGATTATCACCTGCTTCTCACTACAGACTACAATCCACAATAACCATAGCCCCCTGATATGCATTGTCAATTACGAACTAAAAGTCAAATACTTATGGACAGGTAAGGGATCTTTTTAAAATGGCAAGATCTAGCAAAAGATATCAAAAAATTACAGACTAAGAAAACATTATAAAACAAGTTTGAATCTACTCGACCCATTTTAGGAAGTGACATTGTATAATCAATTATAAAACCAAAAGATTGTGAATAAAATGAGTTACACCAAACGACCTGAATCTTCTAGATAGTTAGTTCTGTTTCCCATTCTGCATAACAGATTCGTAGATGCTTTTAGTGGCTTCGTTATGTTCATTCTAGGTACTTACTTACTAACTCCTGATAACCCTGATGAAGTAGCGTAAGCCACCATCCAGCATTCTCCATCCAACTCTGTCTTGGACTCTCCTCTCTAGTTGTTTCCAATTTCTATTCATTATCTTCATGTCTTCCTCCAATTTCCAACACAGTCTGTCCTCTGGTCTTTTTTTCCTTTTCCCTTCACGATTCCGAGTCAGGGATTGCATCGTGATGTAGTTTGGTGATTTCCGCAAAGTATGTCCTATTGTCAGCTGGACATTGGATCAAAGCATGCTCAATGTACGATTGCTTTGGCGCACGCTTATTGGCTGACACTTGTCCAATCAGCGCTAGCAGATTCTTGGAGAACACTCTAGAATCTTCTCATGTAAAAACTATAAATATACTAACGTTTTTCCTACTCTGCTTCTTACTTTCATCTAACCTTGTTATTCGGAATATAATCTCTTTCCTGTCCAACTGTGTTCTGATTTGGGGACTTGTCTAGTGAATTGGTGTCCGAGAGTACTAAGCAATAGGAATAGCTGGGTTGTAATAAGAGATAATTATAACAGTGGCGACGGGGATGGGATACTGTTGAGCTGGTCACCTGATATGGGCACCTTGAATTTGTTTTCCTTTTTCTCGTCGCCACTGTTCTAATGTTCTCTTATTACAACCCGGCCATCCCGCCCCCAGCGCCTTCTCCTAATTTCCTCTTTAGATGGGGTTAAGTTTGTTATCTCCCACAGTAGCTTGTTGTTGATGGCATACGACAAA